TTTATAACATCAATCGTTTAACATATATGACTTCATCTCTTTCTCTCACTCTCTCCAAAAAAAAAAAATTAACAAAAAAGGAAATAAATGTTCATAACCCAACCGACATTTATATTCCTCAGGTTTGTTTGATATGTGAATTTATGTATGTGTTGATGTCATTTTGTATGTGTGAATCGGTGTGTGTCGATGTGTGTGTGGTCAGTTCTCAGATTTGCATCTCTCCAATTTAATGGTATATTACAGTCGTTTTGCTAACCACCTGTTTCTGTATGTGTGGTCGAAAACAACTGTTACTGCACAAGGACCTTGCCTTACCCTCTTCCATAGCACTTTAACCTCTTTCTTTAGGTGTTTTTCCAACTTCCCTTTTTAACCTTTGGAGGATAGTGGCAAATCTTTGGTTATGGTGTGAAGACAAAAAACTAACAACAACAGCAATAAAGTAAGGAAAACAGGACTTCAATGTTCTCGGATTTTTATGCAAATTAGTTCAAATTTCCATGTCCAATGGTCATAACCGAGAGCAGTTTAAACTGAAGTTCTTCTCATTTCCATTTTCTTTCATTTTTATTTGCCTAGGTTTCCACTTTTTTGTTCTACATTTGACTGTTATTGTTTTGTGTTGCTTTCTTTTCTTTTTGTTGTTTTTTTTTTACTTTTTCTCTTTGGTTTTAAGCAGTTTTAAGTTTTTATTTTTTGTGGCTTGTTTGTTTTGTTGTTTCTGTTGTTGTTTTTTTGTTCTCCTTCTGGGTTCTGTGGTTAATTTGCTTTTCATTTACTCTGTCTCTCTTGTTATGGGATACAGGTGCTTAATATACTTCAACATCAGCTACAGCGGGAAACACATTTCCTACATATGGTGTATCCTTATATTCGGAAGAGAATGAAGGTGTGTGGGTGGCTTGAAGTTGTATTCGAGGTTAACAAAATGCGGATAATTATATATTTTTTGTTTGCTGGTTTTGTGGGTGGTTTTCATTTCTTTTAATGTTGCTGCTGCTTTTGTACAGATTTGTAAGGTGGTCCATTTTTAATTCGGAAGTTTTACATCAATCCCCAGTTGTGGTTTGCCATTGTTTCGTTTGTTTTTTTCACAATGGCAATAGTAAAGCTTACTTCCGGTGGCAATAAAACTAGGAATGAATGGGTGTATGTGTGTTTTTTGGGTAACGGTGTTTGTTTAAAACATATTTAAAAAATATTTTTGTGCTAAAAATGACCAGGGAAATGGCTTATAAATGCCACTGTCTTCTTAGTTAATAAAGTATATTTCCAAAAAAGACGAAAAAGAGGTTAGGTTGCGGTCCTATGTGAATTAAATTGTGTTAAATCTTGCTGGGTTACACAAACGGGGGTAACTTTTTAATAAGTTTACCAAAAAACATCGGAAAGTTCGGACCAAGAGTTACTTTACTTAGCTGCCTTGTTACAGAACGGTTGTTCCATAAGCCGAGCTTAAAAAAGATTTCCAAGCGCCTCGGTCTTGTGCGCAAATCCGCCAATTTGGAAGACCACGTTCCAAGATGTTGTTTTCTGCTTGATCTTTCCATTTAATTCGTGGCCTTCCCCTTCTACGGGAACCGTCAGTAGGCTCGCTTTTATATGCCTTTAGAGCTGGGGCATTCTCATTCATTCGCACAACATGGCCTAGCCACCGTAGTCACTGCAGCTCAATACGACTGACTATGTCGATGTCCGCTCATAAATTTTAAAGCTCGTGGTTCATTCGACGCCGATATTCACCGTCGACGCAGATTGGCCCGTAGATCTTTCGGAGAATTTTTCTTTCAAACACCCCAAGAGCTGCCTCATCTGCTTGCGTAAGTACCCATGCTTCAGATCCATATAATAGCACGGGTGGTATCAGCGTCTTGTAAAGTGTGAGTTTGGTTTGGCGGGAGGTGGCCTTGTTTCTAAACTGCTTACTTAGACCATAGTAGCATCTGTTGGCCATCACATTCCTTCTCCGAATTTCAAAACTGATGTCATTCGTTCTATTTATGGCGGTACCAAGGTATATAAAGTCTTTAACTACCTCGAAGCTGTAGTTCTCAAGTTCCACAGTTGGTCCGAGTCTACTGGACGTCTTGGGCGTTGATACCATCAGCTTGGTATTCTCGCCGTTTACTGCCAGACCCACTTTGGCAGACTCCTTTTCCATTTGTTCAAAGGTGGCTGTTACCGCTCGCAATGTTCGACTCATTATATCGATATCATCGGCGTTGGCGAGTAACATGTGTTCTTTGGTGTACAGAGTGTCATTTCTGTTCACCTTTGCGTCTCGTATGACCTTTTCCAGCAGGATGTTAAATATCACACGACAAACTGTCACCTTGTCTGAATCCTCGTTCGGCATTGAAGGGCTCCTACTTTAACTGCTTATCTTGTGCCACTTCATGTTATCCTGCATAGCCGTATTATTTTTGCAGGAATACCGAACGTAGACATGGCTTTAAACACCTCTGAACGGATAGGGCTGTCAAATGCGGCTTTATAGTCGACAAATAGGTGGTATGTGTCGATGTGTTTTTCGCGGGCCTTTTCCAGGATTTGGCGCAGAATGAAAATCTGGTCAATGTTGGATTTACCAGGTCTGAAGCCGCATTGGTATGGTCCAATGATGTCATTGACCATTGGCTTCAATCGTTCACACAGCACATTGGATAGCACTTTATATGCTATGGGAAGGAGACTTATTCCTCTATAGTTGACACATATCTTCTTGTCTCTTTTTTGTGCACGGGACACAGGATGCTGAGGTTCCAATCATTGGGCATGCATTCATCTAGCCAAATTGTACTAATCAGCTGGTGCATGCTCTTGACCAGCATCTGGCCAACAGTCTTGAATAGTTCGGCTGGTAACCCATCGGCTCCTGCTGCTTTGTTGTTCTTGAGCCGATTAATTGCTTTTATGACCACATCATGGCTAGGTGGTATACACTCTATATGGTTCTGGGATATATTCTTCAACGCCACTATTTGATTCCAGAAGCTTTTCAAAATGCTCCTTCCCGATCCTCAACACGCTGTCTGTATCTGACACCAGGTTTCCTTCTTCATCTCTACAGGAGGATGTGCCTGCACCAAAGCCTTCTGTTTGGTGTTTTACCCGTTCGTAAAATGTCCAGACTTCATTCTGACTCCTGTACATCTCAATTTGCTCACGCTCACGTTTTTCGTGTTCTTTCTTCTTTTTTTCTGAAAACACGTTTCTCCTCTCTCCTTTTCTCCCGATAATTCTCCATCGCGTTACGTGTTGCTACTGTATGCAGGGTTGCCCTATACGCAGCGTTTTTTCACATCAGTAGCATTACGATACTCCTGATCGTATCATGGGTTTCTTGATGGTGATTTTTGGTATCCAAGTGCTGCTTTTCCTGCAGTTTATAGGGAGTGGGCAATTCTTTGCCATTGTGCTTCTATACTATTATCGGGACAAGAAGTGCTTTCTTCAAGATGATAGGTAAGTTGAGCGGAGTAGGCCGTGGCTACCTGTTGTGTTTGCAGCTTTTCGACGTCGAGTTTCCGTGTTGTGTTAGATCGCACCTTTGCTGCTACATTAAGACGGTCGATCGGACGTCTAAAACACTTGGTGAATGCCTTCCGTCTATCACAACATCATCAATTTGATTTCTCGTTGCTTGATCAGGAGAGATACAGGTGGCCTTATGTATATCGAGATGCTTGAATCTGGTGCTGCTAACTACCATGTCTTCTGCTGCCGCGAAGTCAATCAACCTCATGCCGTTGTCGAATGTTTCTTCATGAAGGCTGAATTTTCCGACGGTGGGGCCAAAGATATTTCCCCTTCCGATTATTGCATTTTGCGCTCGTAAAATATGTCTTTGGTCTGTTCATCTTTATCTTCGGTCGGAGCATGGGCGAAAATGAGACTGATGTAGAAGAACATCGCTTTTATACGGATTATAGCAAGTCGCTCATCTACTGGAGTGAATCTGGAGACGAGGTCTTTCATTCTCCTGTTAACCATAAATCCTCGTTTCATGGCAGCTATAATACAGGGCGTAATCATCTGATTTACTTACGCCAATCCCTTTCCATCGCATTTCCTGTAAGGCAATAATATCGGCTTTGTACTTCTTGCGAACATCCACCAATGCGAACACTGGGCCTGTTCTGTAGAACGTGAGCACATTCCAAGTGCAGATTCGCAGATCGTGGTCCGTTTGCGGGGGTCGTCAACATTAGGGGGGTTTGGTTTTCTTTGCTTTTTCATAGTAGGTTGAGTTTTCCGAGAGTGGGCAACTAACCGGATGCCTCAACCCATTTTTTATAGTTCTTATGGGTGAACTCGCGGCACATATTAGATCACTATTTTAACGGGTGATGAAAATAGCTCCCCAGGTGGCACCGCGGGGTGGTCAGTGTCCACAATTGAGATGAAAGAGGTATCTATCATCCCCTACGCCACCCTACGCCAGTTTTTGATGATCGATATGATATGATGATCGATTGTTGTGACAACTGAACTTTATAGGAATTGAAACCCATTTCTTTATGAAAAATTCATGTCTGCGGAATGGGCAATTCCACAAGTTGACTTACAACGACCCAAAAATGCTTTAGTTTTGCGAATTGTAACTGCAAAATTGTTCATAATAAACGCCTTTCCTTAAGAAGACATCTCTTCTGTAGTAATACTCTCGTATTCAATAACAATTATTTGTGGTCCTCTATATAAATGCCTTTTAATTTCTATAAAAAATAAATGTTGATGTCTTCTTCTGAAGTCTTTTATTAGAAGTTCTGCTTTATTGGGTTTTACTTCAATTAACCCCAACTTCTGTCATAGACACATAATCATTACAACATGCGGCCTCATTATTGAAATTATTCCTATTATATATTGTAGCATACTTTTAGGATGTATGACGTATTTTATTGGCTAACAGGGTGTTTCTAATGTAACTATTTTGTACTATATAAATAATATGTCTATTTAATATATTTAAAAAATAAATATTTATTATAATCATGTTTCTTTTTCATTACAGTTTGGTTAACCAATCTATGCCCAATGCTGGTCTGGTGCGTATGACCCTGCGCAAGGCGTTAAATGTCTGGCAGAATAGCTCCAAGCTAACATTCCGCGAAGTCTATGATCCGCAGGCCGATATACAAGTGCTGTTTGCCAAGTAAGTAGGAAAACATTTTTTGTTTTCAATACAATTCTGAAATCTTCTCAAAAATAAATTAGAAATATATTCAGTATTATTTGTGGATTATTTGGGATACCATTCGTATTTTGTTTTTGCAAAATAGTCAGGCTGAATTCGCAATTTTGAAAGTTGAAAAAATTAAGTAAATAAAAAAATAAACAATTGATATATAATCTTTAAACCAAAATATTTTATTTTTATAGACGTGATCATGGTGATGGTTATAAATTCGATGGCCCTGGTCTAGTATTGGCTCATGCCTTTTATCCCGGTGTCGGTCGGGGCGGCGATGCCCATTTTGACGATGATGAAAATTGGGTCTATGATCCAGCACCGGGAGATAATGATTCAAGTGGTAAGTAGGAAAGTTATACAAAAATATTTATTAATAAATAGATATCCTGACAAGACGTCTGAAATTTTTTTTATAAAGGACTCTTCTATTAAGGACATTTATACATTAGCTTTAATACTGTCATAGGCTGAAGTTCTAGTAGAGCATATATAATCCTACAAATATATTAACGTTATATACAAATTCGTATATATAATTTCCGTGAGACACCTCTATAAATTCTCCCAAAAGATTACCTATTTAAACTTCCAACAGGTTGTCAATAAATACTCTATATATTTGCTTCAACTTGTACCGAGAATTTCTGCGTCCTATTGGTTATCAATCTATTTGTAAATACTCCCTTTACTTGGAATATAAATCTCCATTGAGTTCGTCTATAAATCCTCCCTTCAAATCATTTGGAAAGAACGTCCGTAAAGACTACCAGTTTCAGATCATCTATAAATATTCCCTTCAGATTCCCAAACTTCTTCTACTTTATAAGGACGTCTTCAACTCATTTATAAGGACTCCATTAGCTCGTCTAAAAAAACTCTCTTCACCTGATCTATAAAATTACAGAAATGTTAGTATATTAAAAAATCCCTTCAAATCGTCTATGAAAGACACCCTTCAGCTTGTCTAAGAAACTTCCCCATAGCTCGTCTATGAAAGACTCCCTGCTTCAGCTCGTCTATGAAAGACTCCCTGCTTCAGCTCGTCTATGAAAGACTCCCTGCTTCAGCTCGTCTATAAAAGACTCCCTGCTTCAGCTCGTCTATAAAAGACTCCCTGCTTCAGCTCGTCCATAAAAGACTCCCTGCTTCAGCTCGTCTATAAAAGACTCCCTGCTTCAGCTCGTCTATAAAAGACTCCCTGCTTCAGCTCGTCTATAAAAGACTCCCTGCTTCAGCTCGTCTATAAAAGACTCCCTGCTTCAGCTCGTCTATAAAAGACTCCCTGCTTCAGCTCGTCTATAAAAGACTCCCTGCTTCAGCTCGTCTATGAAAGACTCCCTGCTTCAGCTCCCCTATAAAGACTTTCTCTTTTTCGTTCATCTATAAATACTCCCTTCAGCTCTTATATAAATTCTCCCTTCATCTCGTCTTTAGGGACACCCTCCAGCTCGTCTATGAAAGACTACCTTCAGCCCTTCGTCTATAATTGTTCCTTCAGTTCGTCTATAAAGGATCCCAGTTCTTTTCTTTTCCATCCTCTTTTCATTATATTTCGCAAGATGATTTTTTGATTGATGGCGATTTAAAGTTTCATTTCATTTCCTTTTTGTCCGTTTTATTTCCCCATTCTGCATTTCATTTTCCACTATTACTATTTGCCACATCGAAGAAATTTCTTTCCTCACCCCCCTCCTCACACCTTCTAGTTCTCTAGATCGTCAACATTTACTTGATTAATACTTTTGAATTGAAATTCTGTTCATTGTCGTTTTTCATTCGTTTCTTTGTGCTCTACTACGGCTTTGCCTTGTGGGCCAGAAGATTGTTGAATATTTTCTCTCCGTTTTGTATTGATTTCAATTTGTCTTTGTTTGTTGACCATTTATAGGTTTTTCTGTTTCAGTTTTTTTTTCGCTGTTAGACACCGGCCAACAATTCGCATTGCTTTGCCATTGGCTTCCAAGCGATTTCCATTATCCTTTTTGTGTGTGTGTGTGTGTCATTTTATCTTAGGTTTCTTGCTACGCACGCAGGACACACACACTAACACAATGACAACGAAAGTGATATTGACTTTTAAATCAATATTAATTAAGTTTTTTCCTTCTCCCGCTTCCACTATCTTTGTCGAAGTGTAATTTTTCAATTTGATGTGTTCTCTTCTCGAACGTTTATCCTTGCCTTATCGTCAGGATATACTTCTTCGATATAGTACATTGTGGAATTTCTGTTCATTGTGTTTTGGTTTTGGTTTCGGTTTCTTTTTTGTTTTTCTTTTTGCCTTCACTTGTCATTTTGGCCTTTAAGATCTTTGGCCTTTGTTTTTATTAATTGATTCTTATGTGTATGTGTGCGCTCGATTCGGTTCGCCTCGTCTGGGCTTTGAGTTTATCTTTGATATTTGTATATATGAATGTTTGTGACATTTATATTTATTTGCCACTTCCTGTTATTATTACTCGCTCGCCACAGGATACGCATTCATTGCAATGACTTCCGTTTCACATGGGAAATGATGATGAGGATGGTGGGAGTTTCAGTAAGTCGATACTTTTTCAAGTGACCTTTAATGCCTTTATCCTTAAAGTAAAGTACGATTTTGTATGAGAGGAAGGGAGGGAAGACACTGATGAATATATGTCACTTGTGACTCATTCGGAATTCAATTTATTTACGAAAATGTCTAAAGATTAACCTTAAATAATCTAAAATCTGAAAAGATTCTCTACGGCTCTTCTATAAAGACACCTTCCAATTCGTCTATATACACTCTCTTCAGCTTGGTTATTAAGACTGCATCCAGTTCGTCTGTAAAGCTCGTCATCTCGTCTCTAAAGACTCCCTCCAACTCGTCTATAAATACACCTTTCAGTCGTCTGTAGGGACTCCATTCAGCTCGTCTATAGACACTGACTTCAGCTCGTCTATAGAGACTCTCTTCAGCTCCTCTTCAAATACCTCGTTCAGCTCTCTAGAAAGACTCTCTCCCCTCCCTAATGACCCTATCTTGGCAAATATTCATTTTCTGTTATTTTTCCCATGAACTTTCAGAAATTACCACCCATTCATCCACTACCATTAGTTTTAATTCCCTCTCTCCCTCTGAACCCAAGTCACTACTTAACTACTATCGACATGCTTGTGCATGACTTAACCAGTTTTTATAGTAATTAATTACATTAGTACTAAATGCAACATGATAATGCGGTTTTTCGCACTGAATGAACTGTGGTATGCCGCACACCCGCAGAACTGGGTGCGAGAATAAAATTATATATCGAAAAATATATTATGCAACAACAACGCCAACAACAAAAACCCTTAGTAAAACAAATATGTGTTCTAAACCACTATAGAAAAATGATTACAAAAATTACACTCGCATGGTGGTGGTAGACCAACATCAATTCGTTAAAATTATGCCGGTATAACCGACCGAACAATCAGCAACTATAACAGAGCTGGAGCCAGGAAATTTATTAATGTTGAATATTTTAATGGCAATTCATAAGAAGTTGAAAATCGACGCTCATGGATGTGCGTAGATGATTTTGAATTATAGATTATTTTCATATTCCACGGTGCCCGGGAAACATATTAACACTATCAAAATTTTTTCACAATATATATGTGTGTATTAGTAACTTGAAATACACTGTAAAAAATTAAATTGATTATGGAAATTAGAAAATCCCTCCCCTATAGACTGACATACTACAATCTCGCCTCCCAGCCAACATATATGAACACTCGCTTGTCTGCTCCCCCGTAAAGATCCCTTCAGTTCGCTATAAAGACGCTCTTCAACTAGCCTATAAAGACTCCCTTCAGCTCGCCTACCAAGACTCTCATCAACTCGCCTATAAAGACTCCCTATAGCGCTTCATTTATAGAGACTCCCTCCAGCTAGTCTCTATAGTCCCTTCACCTCGACTATAGAGACTCCCTTCAGCTCTTCTATAGATGCTCCCTTCAGCTCGTCTATAGATCACCTATGTGGACTTCAGATGAGAAATAATAAAATATGTACTCGGTTAATGTCGACAGTTATTACTTTATAACATTGTTCATACGTACTTACTAACTTAGCTGGCTTGTAACAGAAAATGATTCCATAAACCGGGCTTTAAAAAGACTTCCAGGCGCGACGATCTTGCGCGCAGCTCTTCCAATTTGAAAAACCACATTTCAAAATGTTCACTTCCATCTGAATTTTCAATCTAATTAGTGGCCTTCTCCTTCTGGTTGAGCCATCGTTTGGCTCGCTTTTATATGACTTTTGTGCTGAGGCATCCTCATCCATTCTCACAACATGACCTAGCCAACGTAGACGCTGCAGCTCGATACGTCTGGCAATGTCGATGTCTGACAATAGATAGTACAACTCATGGTACATTCGACGGCGATATTTACTGTCAATGCAGATCGGCCCATAAATCTTTCGGAGAAATTTTTCTATCAAACACTCTAAGAGCTGCCTTATCTGCTTGCGCAAGTACCCATACTTTAGATCCATATAACAGCACGGATAGTAACAGCGTCTTGTAGAGTGTTTTAGACTCCCATCTAAGTCACTTGAACAACCTTCAACTTAAAATATTTCAAAAATATGTACAAACAATTTTGAACATGCTGAGCCTGGCAAGAAGAGATGACAAATAAATTGTTGTTCGAAGTATTTTGAACACCCATTAATCACTTTCGCTGATAACAAAATCTCTCAAAAAATTCCGCTCTTCGATACAAAATTCCTTTCACTTCATTGATAAAAACTCCCGATAAGATCGACTTTTTCCAATTGTGACGAAAACTAAGAAACAAATCTCGGAAGAGGTTCATCAATAAAAAATTCCCTTGCATCGGCTCGCCTTTAGTTCCGCAGTTCGCTGTGAAATCACTTTATTTATAATTTGTCTTACCAATAAAACTTATTTTTTTAGAAGATTTATTAGTTCCTCTCAGTGTATCGGAATACACATTTCTAAGGACCGTGTTTATATTGGTAAAGTTCATATTTTTGCAGTACATTATTATGCAATTTAAAAACTATAATATTCTACACACATACACCCACATAAAAAAAACTTCACACATTTATATAGAACAAAAATGCAACAACAAAAAACTACGTTCGAAAAACCTAGCCTAACTCAACTAACATCCATGGACCCGTCATTATAATGCACAATTTAAATATGCAGGAGATGAATGCTCGAACCGAACATTTTATTGGGCTTTGAAAAAGTACAGCCAACCTCCCTCCATCCCTCCCTTTTCCAAATAAACATGTAACATATGCTGGCAATCATCACTGGTAGTGGTATAAACGACAACGGTCAG